TTTTTGTTTTAGTATTTTGAAGTTGACCAATTGTTACTATAAGCAATTAATGATTATAGATGATCTGCACCGTATGAATATGAAAATTTTGCAGTTGTTTCACGGATTACGAATTAAAAAAATAACAAAAAAAAATTTTAAAAATGAAATATTATGGCAATTCCCCAAAGAAACTTTATAGTTGAACTAATGTTACGGTCATTTAATACTGTTTGAATCCGTATTTCATGATTACGATCTTGTGGTTTTCTGTGGGGGTCGTGGTGTTCCTCGCAAGACCATTTCTACCTCAAGTTCGACTTTACTTTGATTGTCGGTAAAGTGTCCTGTCGGTAAAGTGTCCTGTCGGTAAAGTGTCCTGTCGGTAAAGTGTCTTGTCGGTAAAGTGGGTGTCGGTAAAGTGGGTGTCGGTAAAGTGTCCCAGACCCCTCACAAATATATTAATTATGTAGACTGATTAGTGAATGGGGAAATTTGTTGTTTTATGAGGAGGCAAATTTACTTTCTACAATTGATAATGATGATGAATTTGAGATGGATGATTTATTATTGAATCAAACACATCCTGCGTTAGACAATACAGCAAAATGTCAAATAAAAAATATTTTCGTTGATAATCTGGAAAGATAGCACCCCGTGACATTTTTATGGTTTGTCGCGCATAATTAGAAAATTGATATTTGTCACGGGGTGCTATCTTTCCAGATACAACTCAATGGGAAAAAATTCAAGTGGCACATTTCTCTATTAATTAATGATTGGTTGATTTCGGGTGTAACTTGAAACCCGCCAATTCTGCCGATTGATTATAGAAATCATTTCTAAATTTGAACAATTCAAAATTTAATATTAAATTCAGCTTTCCCAAAAAAACATAGTAAAGTTGTTTTAAATTTTTAGCTCAACCTTAAAAAAAATTTTTTTAAAATTGTTTTTATAAATAAATAAAAAAGAAGAAAATGTCCACTACAGGCTCTCCTTGGTTTACTGGATCAGTTATGGAAGCGGTTAATCTGGCAACAACCAAGAATGTTATTTTCATGGTCTACATTTATGGTACTGTTATAATTATAATTAGTTAATAGTAATGTTTTATTACTTAATTGATGAAAATTAAATTTCAAATTTTTTTCTCAATTATTAGACGAAAATGAGGAAAGTCAACAAATGAATAATATAACTGAAAATTCAAATGTAAATAATTATTAATTATTGAGTTTAATTAATCAAGATGATTGTCTATTTATTTATTATTGTTATTATTTTCTTATTTTTTTTTTTTTTCTTTCATTTTCACAAATTAAAAAAAAGTCCGCAAAAACCATAAAAGATAAGACTGTCGCACTTCGGATATCTCGTGATTCAGAGGAAGCTATCATGTTTGGTCAACTTTGTGTGTATCGGCCGTTTGGATCTATTTTATATATAATTATTTTTGGCCTAAAAAAAAAAAAATAGGATCATGCATATTTAAATATATATGACTTTATGATTTTGATTCCAAACACGCTCACACACTTGCAAACATAATTTCTTTTGATATTTAGTCACTATAACAAAAGTTCCAAGCATTTATCTTATTCGGTAAATCATAACTATTTGATTTATTTATTTTATTTTTCTTAATGGTTCAGTTTATCATATTAAATACATATTAATTGATTGATTGATTTTTGATTTTTTAGAGTTGGTGCTGTACGTGATTATATTCCTGGAGTGGTTTCTGAAGAAAATCTCATTTCTAGAATTAATACAGTCGCTTCTTTAAATCTATCCATTCCGACTTCTACTTCTCTTCCTGTTTCTCCTCCCGTTGTATCATCTATCTCTCCTCCAACACCATCACCACCACAGCAACAATCCTCTTCAAGTACAGCATCAACATTAACAGCACCATCAAATTCATCTTTTCAAACACAAACATCTGAAAATTCTAACGATAATCTAATAAGTAGAACAGCAAGGTATTTTATTTATATAAATAGAGACAATGATGATGATGATTATTAATGATGATTTTTTTTTTAGAATTCAATCAAAAATTGAAGAAAAAAGAAAGAAAAGAGAACAAGAACAAAAGAGAGTAATTATTCGATTATATATATTTTTTTTTTTTTAGAAAATATCTCAATATTTATTACATGTAAATTATTTTTTTACATAAAAAAAATATTATATATAGGCAGAAAAAGAACATGAAATTAATCGTAGAACTCAGGGAAAAGCTATGCAAGATGTTTATCGACAGCAAAATGAAGCTAAAACTAAAAAAATTGCTGATGAATTTGCAAAACAAAAAAAAGATGAAGAGGAAGCAAAAAGACGTATTAGAGAACAGATTGCATTGGATAAAGCTGAACGTCAAGCTAAACGACAAGCTGAATTATCATTACGTCAACAACTACAACAAGAAGAAGAACAACAAGAGATATTTAGTAAAAACGATAAAGTTGGAATAATTAATGGAAGGCAAGTTTATTTTGTATATTACTAAAAAAAATTTTAATAGATAAAATATTATTTATGTAATGTAATTTTTGTTTTAATATATATAAATTATATATTATGTGATTATTTTATTTTATTATTATTATAATTATTAATAGCTATAATCATAGTAATATAAGTGTACGTCTTTTAAATGGTGATATTGTTCGAAAAAAATTTCAATCAACACAAACTCTTGAAGATGTTAAAACTTGGATTGAAGAGGTAATAAAATACATTTAATATAATATTATTATATACTCACACACTGTATGCTACTACAAAATAATTTTAATTTTAATTTATAAATAATTCTCTTGATTCTAATTAAAGGATCGAACAGATGGAAAAGCTCCTTATAATTTAATTCAAAATTTTCCACATCGTCAATTCAGTATTAATGATGAAACTAAATCACTTAAAGAATTAAATCTTTGTCCAAGTGGAACATTAATATGCAAGGTTTTCTTCTATTTAATTTATTTTTTATTTTTTTAAAATTAAAATTAAAATTAAAAATATTTTACATGTACAATTTTTACACATATATTTTAAGCCAAGTAAAAATGTTTCCATAGCATATTCGAGTGATGGTGGATTCATTTGGAATTTTTTTTCATTAGGGTTTTCAATGATTGGAACTTTGTTGAGTTATATCAATCCATTTTACTATTTTTATAGTGGTAATAGTCAACAACAACAGAGACAATTTAGAAATTCTAATAATGAAAGACATGTACCAAATAACAATTCCAATCAATCTGATAATCACAACAACGATGATATTATTAACAACAACAACAACAATAATAATAGCAGCAGTAGTAGTAAATCATCAGAAAGGTAAAAAAAACGAATAAATATTTAATATTAAAAAATATTTTATTTTATTTTTATTATTTTTTTAGGCGTAACTATGGTGGTAACAATGTTAGAACTCTTTCGCAAAACGATGATGATATTGATAAACGATGGACTTATAATGGAAATTCCACAAATCAGGAATAAACATTTTTGATTTGAAAAACAAACAAAATTGCTTTATCATATCATATTTTTATTATTATTTTTTTAACATTAATATTTTTGAATTAATAATATATGTTGCAATTTATAATTAATAATAAACACAATTTCATATGGAAGGGCATACTGAAACAAAACCAGCTTTTTCATAATGTCACAAGATAATTTGAAAGCATTGAAAAATTGCTCAACGTTACAATTGTACTATTGATGTGATTTATATCAGTAGTGTAGTCCTTTGCCTGTCCTTATTTTCATCGCTTCTTGTTTCTCATTTTAATCATTTAATAAGGTAATTGGTCCAAAGGTAGGCAGATACTGGATTGTTTTCATTTGTTGGGTTATTGCCTAGTGTCTTTTGTTTGCGCATATATATTCTCTTGGTTTGCATCCTGCTTTCTTGTAGACAAGTTTTTCTTTCTAAAGGGCACAAGATGCATTTGCATATCCTCTTGTAGTAGGCAGACTCAAAGGAAAGTAAACCACAAAATCTTCGTTTGGTCCTAAAAGTTTATCATTAACAAAAGTTCTTTTGCTCCAACCATTTTTTATAATTGTTTTAAAACCTAATTCATTAACATCATGCATGTTGATTGTTTTTCTCTAATGGATGGGCGATAATGATAATATTATTATTATAGAAATGATAATGATTTCAATATGTGCATATAATTAATTAAGTTATTGTTACTTACAATCAAATTATGCATTGTATACCTGCAACGGATGGATTGTCAATCCACAAATTGGCTTCCTGATTGTACCCAATAGTTATAAGATTTTGGACTTCTGATAAAACAACTCTTTGATTTAGATATATAAGAGTTGGAATTGGATTAGCATCGGCTTTAGCAAGCTCAAATCGTCTCATTCAAATAAGTTTATTAATATCATCGTCACCACCACTACCAGCGTTATTGTCATTATTATTATTGCTGTTATTATTATTGCTGTTATTATTATTATTATTATTATTATTATTATTGTTATTATTATTATTATTATTATTATTATTATTATTATTATTATTATTATTATTATTATTATTATTATTGTTATATATTAAAACTAGAGTGACAACGAAACACTTACCTAGAAATGTTTGGAACGAATTCTTGATTTCTTTTGTAAGCGTTGGTTTTTGATGTATCCTAAATGTAAAATTTTTAATATGCACCTAGTCAGAGTTTTTTTTTTTTTAATAAATTTAGCCCTTTAAAAACTTTGTTGGCCATAATGTATTTAAAATGCTCTAATATTAATATTAATCATGAGTGAAACTGAGCCTTCAAGTGATTCTGAAAGCAAAAGCGAGTTTGTACTAACAACAACGTTTTAGATAACACTCTCCGTACAAAACAAAAAATGTCAGTATGACGAGAATGTCATGTTTTGTTCATAGATCTTGTCCTTAATGCTTACTTCGATCGCTCCTACACAAACTATTGAATAGTTGATAAAACGTTTGTTAGTATGTTTTGCATTTTGAAGAGAAAAATAAAAATTTGAAATGTTTATTTATTATTATTATTGGCACTTGGTGTTGTACAAAGGTTTTTTTGTTGTGATTGATTTTTTTATGATAACAAAAACGTGAGTGTAGTTGTTTGGTATGGTTTAGGTCTGAAGTCGTGTTAATGACAGAGGTACTTTTTTTATTTGTATTGGTATATATGTCTTTTAGTTTATAAATATTATAATTGAATCAAAATGCGGAGCAGATCTTGCTGGGCAATTATAAGATCCTTATCAAGATGGTAAACAAATGAACAATTGGTATTTTGCTTTTCGTAATCAGTAATATTAATATTAATCTAAATATATAATTACATGAAGACATCAAGGCAGCACACTGTTGAATATGAAACAATTTATATATGTGAGAAGTTTGATTATCGGAAAATGGCAGATGTTGAAGCATGCATGCTACCTTGAACACTTTACAGTCATTCTCACACATTCCTCGTGTACACAAGGCCAATCTGACTAGTTTGCCCCAATTATACATGATGTTGTTAGATTTCAGGGGGACGTGGTCCTGGGGTTTACTGAGACTGCATCAATCGTTAAGAACACTTTCACTAATCTTCCCAAACCAGAGAAGGCTGCTGGCATGCTGGCAAAAAAATTGCCTGCAACAATCCACTTCTAGGGTAAAGATGGCTCTGTGACCTAGTCACAACACTGGAGCCCATATAACCCATTCTAGGATAGAGGAATGTAGCTCAATGAGAACATGTATCTTACAAGTATAAAGGTGGTAGTTTAACTTTGCTCACTCCTATTGTGATAATCACCATGAACACTGGAATCAAGGTAGAAGCTGTAAAATAAAATGGTTCAGATTTTGTTTGGTATGTTATGTATAAATTAATCATTTTCATAAATTTTCAATTTCTTTAATTTTTATTTGACCAACTGAATTTGTTATTTAAATAAATGGGAATAGGGTTGTTGGTGAGTAGGCATGCCACCAACAAAACAGCAACCCAGGACTCAAAACTTTGAATTCAGGGAAAATCAAAAACAGCAACTTCCCAGGTTGTAACCTCCTGGGTTGCAGATACGAACTTTATTCTACAGGTTGGGATAACACAAAGCAATTATCACTCGAATGCTGATCCTCATCAGCAATCAATGCTCATATGGTAACAGCCAAGCCTAGTCTGGGAGGAGATAAGGGAAGTTTTTGTCCAAAGTCTACCAACTTGTTGAATTGTTTCACCTGTGGAAAAAATTCCACAGTTATGAGGCGTGTGAAAGCATAACGCTTGCTTGTTTGTGACAGGAAAATTTTAATTGAATCCGACACTTGTGATCAACATCAGATTTATTATTCATAAGGAACTACAATTGATAATCAAGGAAAATAATTTATTTTGTGAAACCCAGAGGTCTGGGTAGATACACATTATTAAAAGTTTCATTTATTGACCATTATGAATATTTGATGGATGGAGGCATTCACATACAAGGAAATAATTAAATAGATAAGTCATGTTTGTTTTATTAAAGAAATATGATTAATTATATATAATAAAAAAATTGCAAGGTTGCGCCACTATATCAATCAAGCTATAATTTTTGAAAAATAGGTGTTTTTGAAAATATACAAGTTCAAATATAATAAGCGAGTAACATCAATTACTACATTTTGAAAATAATAATTATCATTACTCAACCACTGGATTAATTTATTACTTATTTAATGTGTCATTATTATTATTTTCATTATTATTATTATTATTAATTTTTAAAAAATAGAAGATCTTTGAGTAATACAACTAGACTGTTGGTTTATTTCATTTCACTAATTCATTAATCCATTAAAAAGAATTTTGTTAATACAGATTATTAACATTTATTAATATTTACTTTCTTCAAAAAACGAATATATCATTATGGTTAAATGACTAAATTATTATTGTTACGCGATTGTCAAAAAAAAAAAAAATCAAAGTCAAAATCAAAATATCTAGTTGATATTGATAATGGTAATAGGTAATCATGACATTGTATTAATGTTTATCTTCTTCTACGGTTGAATTGTTACGCGACCATAAAAATTATTCTAGTTGGTACTACTATTAGTAAGAGGTAATATTATTATTTACTATTAATAATAATTCTTGTTATATACAACATTGTATTGATGTTTGTTTAAACGGATCTATGGATTATTGTTATGCAACTATCAAAATACCCTAGTTGATATATATTGCTAATGGTAATGATATTATTACTAAAAATGTATATAGCATTGTGACGTTAAAGAATTAATTATGAGAATGATAAGGTATTTCACATTTGAGAGATTATTATTAAATAGACTTCAGAAATGTTTTGTAAACATGTCTTTCATTACGGGAATCAGATTTCCAAAATGCTATAGAGGACAGTTATTTATTGATGAGAAATGATGAAAGAAAAAGTTTACATGGGACCTCGTATATCATCTATAAAGCTTTCTATGACTAATGGTTTATTTTCTTTTTTAATAGTGCCAATTCCTTTGACCGTGGAAATGATCTGAACAATGCATCGTGAAGTCTTTTTAACATCATTAATGCGAAGCTTATTTCAAAAAACACATAAGGATATGGATGTCTTTTTAAGTGACAAATAGCATGCATTCTAGGTTAAAAGGTGCCATCTTAATAAAAAAAATTTATCTATTAAGTGGCGAGATATCCTTATTTGCATCAGCAGAGGAAATAATATAATATGTCTCTCTCTCTCGTACTGTCTAACAAAAAGTGATAAAGAGGAATGTAGTAGTGGACGAAAAATTGATATTGTTTGGACAACAATGCCAAAGCTTGAATTTGCTATTGGTGAAGTTAGTGATCCACCTAACCAACGCCAACATACACACTTTTTTGGAGATAAGCTCAAAACCGCCAAAAATGTTAAATAGAATAATACGAATGGCTGGAGGTATCGGTGATAGCTTAAGCTTACTGAAGCCATATGACTTGCAAATTTTATAGTAAATATCTTTAGTATGAATGATAGTCTCTATTGTGTCTTTATGCTTTGTTATTAAACAACTATAGATCATATCGTGTTTGTTTACGAAATAAGCATGCTAACTAGTATTCATGGACTGTGCTGTGCATATACAATATTTATAGGAAATGCTTAACCAAAGTTTAAATAATTTGAATACTTATATAAAGGAAGCAGGTCTCAATACATCAACTGAAAACAATGGTGCATGCTTATCTGTGACAAGGATGATATATACACCGAAAAAATAAACTCATTAAAATTTTATTATGCCAACTTTAATTATTTTTTAATTGATTGTATGAAATGAAATTTAAGTCATAAATAAATACTTATATTCTAATAAAGTAAATTATTGCAAGCAACTATGAAAACATTGGTCAATTAATTTTTCATGTGGTGTGGGAAATGGAATGATAATCTGCTAATTTCTTGTCTTTTAGCCGAAGAATACCACATCAAGAATACTGTGATTTTCAGCCAAAATATTCAGGCTGGTAAAGCTCTTGTTTGATTTTTATGGAGGATTAAAGATAAACATAATCTTCAACTTCTGCAATTATATATTAATGACTCATTTTCTAGTTAATTATATATTAATGACTCATTTTCTAGTTGTTTCTTCACAGGATTTATGATTTGAAACAATACCCAGAGTTCACTTTACGTAATAGCAAAAATTCCAAATTTTGATTCTAAGACCACAGGGTTGCTACAAAACATATAAAAATAAGGTAGGTTTCACCTGTTAGTTATTTTGTCTGTTTGCATAAGTAAAATCCATACTAATTAATATATACTTTATCATTAATCAAATCGCAAAATTGGTAAATGAGGATAATCTGAAAACAAAGAAAAAGAAAAAATTTTATTTCATAGACATAAATATTCGGACATTTTAGCACCCTTGATTTTAATATCCCCATATAAATAATAGTAAATGTAATAAACTTGATTTATCGATTTTTTTAAAGAAAATTTCTGTCCGGGTTAGGCTAAAACCGACCGATCGCGTGACCGACTTGTGTGTGTTAATATATTTAGTTTACTAGGACGGTCGCTTTTTTTCTTGTTACATTTTAATAAAATTATGTATGCAATTAAAAACATTAATGATTTATTTAATCCAAGAAGAGATACCTTTTTGTTGTATAACAAGTGCGGAAGCTTACTTAAATATGTATATCAAAAATTTAGGAATTCTTAAATAATTAAAATGTATTAAAGTTAAATGAGGAATTTTTAAAGAAAAATGAATGTCTGACGGGATTTATGGGTTCTTGATATATATTTGTTTTATTTTATATCATTAAGTATGTCACGTGATTTTATTATATTTTGACAAGTTTTAAATTTTCCAATCCCAATTGAAAACCAACGCGTAACATTTTAAGAAATTTATATTACGATAAACATTATAATTAGCGCACATGTAGCGGGATAAAAAATGTCGGTTAAATCGAGATACAGTGTGTACTCCCTCAGGTTTCATTTTTATCATTTGTTAAACAACAACATTACATCTTTTTATTTATTATTATTCACTACTACATAGGTTGCTTGCCGATATTCTGACAATAATTTCGGCTTCCAATATTCTTTATATAAAATAATTATTGCTATGCTATTTGATTTCGACAACTATGAAAATTAATTTCGGCTACTATGAAAAAATAATTTATTTTTGGCATTCCCAAAAAAAACTTTTTTAGATTTGGCGATGATCATTTATCATTAATATTAAAGAGGTGTAATTTCGGCTAACGTCTTGGTGTTTTAAATGGCTTGAGTTTTTTTTACTCAAACACGAATATTCATCAATTATTATGGTATACGATACCAATTTAGAAATAATTACAATAATAATCTATAATGAATTTAGTCAACAATATTGTGTTAGTAAATTACTAATACTAAAAAGGAATAGGAATCTGATATTTTAAGATAAAGCGTAAAAAAAGATACATCCCTCTTATTCTAATATATATTAATATATATTTTATGCTAATTTCCAATAATATAGTTGCAGCCACAAATATTTCTTTAAATAGAAATTTTTTATTAACTGTGGCTTATTCAAACGGCCACCGCTATAATTTAATATTAATATTAATATTGAGTTTAATTAAAACACAATACAAAAAACCCCCTTTCACATTACATTCTTTTAAATTTTCATTCTCAAAAAACTATAATAATTAATCGCCTTTTCTAATTCCTAAAATTTCGTATAATTTACTTTGTATGCGCCTTCTCTTATTCATCAACCCTTTCTACTCATTCTACTAAAACATATTAACTCCGACCTCAATCGCGTACGTCGATTAGCATATATAAAAATATAAAATATAAATATAAATAATAAATAATAAATAACAATAAATAGGCAAAATGAGTTTTGCTACAGAAAGTGAACAAAATGACTCGATTACTCTTGGGGGGATGGCTACCCAGCTTGGGATAAATCTTGCAATAGGTGTTGGAACTTTCATATTGTTTGGTTTTCTTAGGCCCAGGAATGGAAGTAAGTAATTATAATTATGATAATCATTTGCTTACAATCAATGCTTTATTTTTTTTACTAACTATTTAATTAACTAAACCAATAGTTGTATATGCTCCTAAATATAAATATTCATCGGAAAAGTTTGTAATTCTTTCAATGATTTTTCCATTCACCTTATATATATTTATCATATAAAAAAAGATTAATTAATCGAATTTTATAATTTTCACTTATTTAGAAAACAACCGCCGAAACTTGGCTCAGGGTTATTTTCATGGGTGATGCCTGTACTAAAGACATCTGAATCAACATTAATAGAAAAAATTGGTCTTGATGCTGTAATGTTTATACGTTTTATAAAATTTTGCCGGAATATATTTTTTTTCATGTTCATACTCAGTATACTATCATTGATACCGGCGGACGTTTTTGGAAATGTTAAAATTAAAGAGCGATTGAAAAACAGAGATTTGGCTAAATTGGATAGCAATCCATTACTTTATTTAAGCATAGGATTTATAACTGATGTAATTATTATTATTATTATTATTATTATTATTATTATTACGATATTTGTATTATCTTTCTTATAATGAATGGCAATAACAATAATAACAATAATTTTGTTACAGGTTAATTTATATTGGATTCATTTAGCATTTACATGGATTTTTTCACTATTGATATTTTATGTTTTAAATGGTTATTATAAAACATACACAAAATTAAAATTGGGATATTTTGAATCTGATGAATATCGCAATTCACTACATTCCAGGACATTATTAGTTACTCATCTTCCATCATCTTTGCGATCAGATGAAGGATTACGTAATTACATCCATTCCATTGACATCAAGTATCCTGTTTTAGAAGCACATGTAGCAAGGAAAGTTGGTAATTTGCCCGACTTGATTAAAGAACATGAAGAAGCTGTTAAAAAATTAGAAGCTGTTTTAGCAAAATATTTAAAAGGTAAACATATATAAATATGTATGCATATATTATATCAAAAAAATTTAATTATAAAGTATTTACTTATGTAAATGCAATTTTTTAGATCCAAATAGGATTTCTAAAGAAAGACCAATGAATAGTGTAAGTGGATTTTGTGGCGAAAATGTAGATAGTATCGATTATTACACTCGTCAGATAGAAGTATTAGAAGAAAAAATAAATGAAGCTCGTTCACAAATAGCCCAACAAAAGGCGACAAGCTATGGTTTCATTTCCTTTTCAAGTATAGCTCATGCTCATGCTGCTGCAAAAGATTTAAATAGATCAAGTATTTTAAGAAGTCCCGGATCACCTTCAATAATGCTTGCACCATGGCCAAAAGATATTATTTGGGCGAACCTTCAAACAAATGGAACTGCTAAATGTAAGATCAATTCATTTAATCTAATATAAATTATTTTGCAATATTAATGATAATAATATGATTATGATTATAATTACAATTTAGGGACAAAAACATTAATTAGTTATAGTCTTTTCTTTTTGCTCTGTTTCTTTTGGCTAATTCCAATGTCATTTCTCACAACTTCTGCTCAAATCAGTAACATTAGAGATTTAGCTCCATTCACCAGGAAATTTTTAGACAATAATAAATTTATCGCTGGATTAATAGAGGCTTGGATGTCTCCAATGTTAATGGCATTGTTTTTCCTTCTTTTGCCAAAAATATTAGGTCTGCTATCTAAACATCAAGGAAAAATAACTAAATCTTCACGTGATCGTGCTGTGCTCTCAAAACTTTTTTTATTTTTTATCATAAATAATCTGATTATTTTTACTCTCACTTCGACGGCATATGATATATGGTCAACAATAAAGCAAAAAATTCAAGATGGTGACACTGATCTTCGAGAGATATATAATGTTTTCAAAGCTCAAGATTTTACTCAAGAATTAGCTAAATCATTGGTTAAAGTTTCGACATTTTGGATTAATTATATCTCACTACGTGGTGTTGCTGCTATATTTGATCTGGCACAGATGTTTTCTTTAGTTTGGACATTTTTGAAGAAAATTTTTATTACTCCAACACCAAGAAACATCAAAGAATTTTCTCGTCCACCAGATTTTGATTACCCTGTTTATTACAATATCCATTTATTTTTCTTCAGCGTTGGAATAATATATAGTGTAATAGCTCCATTGATTTTATTCTTTTGTTTTACTTATTTCGCCTTAGCATATTTGGTTTACCGATATCAACTCATGTAAGTTTCAATTATTATTATTATTATTATTGTTATTATTTTAAAAATATTACAAGTTTCTTACATACATGCATGCGTATATTTATAAACAAAATATTAGGTATGTTTTTACTACTAAAATAGAAACTGGAGGAACTTATTGGAGAGTGATTTTTAATCGTGTGATAGTTTCAATGATTATGTGGCAAATAGCAATGATTGGAGTGATGAACTTAAAGGCTGCGAGACAGCAATCAATTGCTATAATACCACTAATTATCATTACAATACTATTTAAGATCTATTGTTCCAGAAGATACGATTCAAAAATTCATTATTATCAACCAAAGACTAAAGAGCTTGAATTGTCGGGGTCATCAGATATGCATAAAAGAAAAGACGATGTTTCCAATAGATTTGGACATCCTTCGCTTAGTTGCGAATTAATCACGCCAATGGTATTTTCAAATGTTAAACATTTGTTGAGTCAGGTTTATCATGGAAGGCTAGATGAAAAAAGAGTTAGTAGACGAGGAACCATTAAATCTATGGCATTTGTATCAACAAATGGTAAAAAAGGTTTAAATTTTGAAGCGGTTGAAGACAATGAATTGGATATTGATGAATATACTTACTATGAGTCTCAAAATCCTGGATATTATGTCGATTACAATGACCCTTCGTATATACCTTATAATTCTTATTCAACTTCATATCAACAAAGACAACCAACATTACCACAGCATCAACAACAACAACAATACTCACCACAGCAACCACATCAACGAAGACCTGAACATATTGAATTGCAAAATATCAATCAACCCAGCCCAGATTATTATGAAGGATATGAGCCTTCAGAGTATTCATTACAACACTATGGAAAAGATAGTTCCTCCATCTCAAACATTGCACCGTCTTCTACTGCTCCTTTATTAAGGCAAAGTCCTATACCACCTGACAATTATAGTGAAGTTTCAATCAATGCACCTTCTTATCATTCGTCAAGAATACAATATGGTCAAGAAGAATCTTATCAACCGTCTCAACCTCCACATCAACATCATCAAATGCCAGCTTACCCACCACAACAATATCAGCATCAGCAACATCGACAGCAAAGTCAACATCAACAGCAAAGTCAACAGTGGCAGCAACAACAACAGTGGCAGCAGCAACAACAACAACAACAACAACAACAACAACAACAACAACAACATACTCGAACTCCACAACCTCCTCAGCATCAACAATTTAATAATAATAACAATAATAATTCACGATATGGTGGTGGATCCCATTAATATAATTAATTTAATAATCAATTTAACCAATCTATTTAAAAGTATATTTATAATATAGAATCATAATATTTTATTGTTTTGTGTATCATAAGTGTTAAATGTTATTTGCATTGTATATCTTCAATAATAATAATAAAAAAATATATAAAAAAATAGAAATTGCAATTGCAAGATACTTTTTTAATCATGTCTTTTCATTGGCTTGTTCAGCAAATTTATGAATTCCGAGAGTTTGAATGATAAATGATGATTCCTCTCTTTAATTTTGTAATTATCCCTGATGGACTTCCTGACTATGGTTGTAACATCAACAATGCCTTGATCAAAAAAAAATAACTGATTGCAATAAATAATTAGCATCTATCTCTTCTTCCCTAAATCTTCCATTGGTAACAAATAAAATTTGATTTAATATCGTAAAAATTTAAGACGTTGATGTTGATGGTGCAAAGTTAAAGATTTGAATAAGCTGGATGTTCCAGCAATTAGAATCTTATTTTTAAAAGTGTAACCACGAATTTCTTCGATATTAATAGTGTCCACATTTTCAAGATCCTTGATAAATGTACATGGTGGTGAATTGCTGCTATAGCTCTCTCAATAACATCCAAATGATTTAATTTAATCTAGCTCCACGAATAATTATTGTGGCTGTTTTAGTTAATTCATCCTCTAACCAATTTAATAACATAAATGAATATAAAATACTATTATATAAATGTATAAATTAACATTTATTTTATGTTGTGCGTGAATTTAGAATCTGCGTCAATTTGAAATCCACGCGTGTGAAATTTAAATTAGCCAATCAGAATTTGTATTCAAACACCCGCCCCAATATTTAATCTTTACGCACAACATTTTATAAGAACAAGTGAATTGTTGAATGATGAATCCTACTTTTTCAGACATGCCTTCTTGTAATATACTAATATCACTTGAAACACGTGTAGTTATATCACCAATTGATGTATCATCAAAAAATTCGATATCTTGATGAATGATTGATGAATAAAAATAATGTACGAATTCTCTAAAAATAATTTAAAACAATTAAAAAATATCATAAAATATCAATACCAATAATTTTTATATAGGCAGTTTCTATTTGTACACTATATACATACGTAAACACGGTGTTACGTTGCACGTTATTTTACATTATATTGGTTCACAACCACATTGGATCATCCCATCATTTGATCCAAACAACCTTTTTTGGCCCATTTTTGGGAAGTTGAACAAGTGCCAACCACACAATCTCTAACCATCACTTTATTTTATCATATCAGATCATCCCATCATTTTCACAAATCAACCTTGTCTCGTGTTATATATACGCACATACGAATCATATGTAAGATGCAAAATGAAATGTTATGTGTTTCAGGGTGTCCCAAACCCTCAAGCAAAACACTCACTCTAAAAAAGTTTGATTTTTTTTATTGATGCAAATTTTATTATGTAACGCATGTGACATGTGTACATACACTACGTGTTTGCTAAGAAATTTTCTTTTATATATACAAAATTATCAATGATTAGGCAATATAAGCAAGCACAATAATATATAGGACAAACTTTGTTAAAATGTATGCTGATATATATAAGATTACAAGAGATATTTTATTTTATTTAATAACAATTATTAATGGAATTACAAAATGAGATTGTTAATATATTAATAAAGTCTTTTACTGTCAAAGATCATACCTATTTATAAAAATTTCTAAAGTTTTTGTTTTGTTATTTTCTTTATACCTGCTAAAGAAATGACTCATTAATTAAAGAAAGAAATCATTAAATCTAATCCCTGCAAAGATAATTTATTTTCATGTCATTTTATTAATATCTATTAAAAAAAAGCGAATTAATTTTTTGTTATTCACACTCTCTTATTATTATCTATATATTAAATATTATTATTATCATCGATGTCTGAAATCAAGAGAATTAATTTTTGTTATTCATACTCTCTTATTATTATCCATATATTAATGTTATCTAAAACAAAGAGAATTAATTTTTTGTTATTCATGCTCTCTTATTATTACTATATATTAATATTATTATCATTGATATCAGAATTAATAATAAACCATGGATGACGGATGATCATGATAAAAATTTGCGGATATTTTTTGCAGATAATAGATAACTACACGATTATTATTAATTGATTTTCCCAAAGCCCAAACTTTAGTCCATAGGTAACCTTCTTTTATGTGGATTTAGAAACAACGATATACTTGTAAATACATGCGCAAAATCTCCAAAGATTTAATTTGTCAAATTTTTTAAAAACTTTCTTATAAACTATCTTTACTTCTATATGACGCCAAGCTGGATTCCTGCTTAAATTTATTATATAAATTCGAAATTTAAAATTTTAAGATTTGGTAATGTCTACTCTTTTGTCTGGCACTGCTTTACCATTAATAGTTGCGGTAGCTGGTGGAAACTTAATATTAGTGAGGTTTTTTTGGTAATTAAGAGGTAGTTTAATCATTATTTAATAATTTTTAATTTATTTTTTACAATATATATATATAATTTTAGCATTCTAGAGTTCATAAACTCCTCTCAATAACAACTCTTCATCAACCTCCATTGGATATTTAGGAATTTGTAATTCTATTGGAAAGATTGCATCTCTTCCATGCATTAGGTAAAATGGTTTGACATATGTAATTTTATTAATAGAAAATTAATATACAACCTATTTAATTCTATATTTAAATGTCACTTGAAATAAAAGAATGCGGCATAAATTATAAGTAATTATTTATTTAAACTTGAGGGTAAATACATACAGTATATTATATAATTTTTTAAATTATAGAGCGAACAGTTTGGAAAATTAGTAAAAGGAATTAAAGATCGAGACAAAGAATGAAATTACCAGAATACCACCCACTGCAAACATTGCAAACAGCCATGAACTGACAATTATTGG